CACAACAACAATACAGACTGAAGAGACATGAAGAGAGGATACAGCTCTGATGTACACCTTTTTAAATTTTAAACCAGATAATGTTCCCTGCTCTATTTGCACAACAGTTTCTTGGTTTAGGTATAGATTTTACTTGAGCACAATTAAATGTTCTGGGATTCCCATTTTTCTCAATGTTAGCTGTAACTTGTTATGATCCACAGAGTCAAATGACTTTCCATAATCAATAAAGCACAAATAGACATTCTTCTGGTATTTTCATTTTTCAGGTAGGATCCATCTGTCAGCAGCAACAGTATGTATCCTGGTGTCACAGCCTCCTATAAAGCCAGCTTTATCTTCTGGCAGTTTTCTCAATGTACTGTTCTGGATGATTTTCAGCAACATTTTGCCTTCATGTGTTATTAATGATATTGTTTGATAATTCCCACATTCTGTTGGATCACCATTCTTGGGAATGGGAACAAATGTGGATCTCTACTAGTCAGTGGGGTATATATGACATAAAAAGCCAAAACTGGCAAATGTAAACCAATTATGACTCATGGTGACCCCATGTACTATAGAGTAGAACTGCTTCACAGGTTCTTTAGGCTGTAATCTTTGTAGGAGTAGGTTGCCAAACTTTTCTTCTGTAGCACAGCCGGATGAGTTCAAGCTGTCTATCTTTAGGTTAGTCGTTATTCTTGTTAGGTGCCATCGAGTTAAGTATAGCTCATGGGAACTTCATGAACAACAGATCTGCATTCTGTCCTAACCTGTGCCAACCTCACAATCTCTGACACACTTGAGTGCATTTCTGTAGCCACTGTGCCAATCATATGGTTGAGAGACTTCTTTTCTTTCACAATCACTCCATCTTTCTAAGCATGATGTCCATTTCTAAGGAACAGCCTCTCCTAATAATATGCCCAAAATAATAGCAATCTTATGTGTTGTGCTGGAGAAGAGTATTGAATGTACCATGGACTGCCAAGAAAACAAACAGATTCATCCTAGAGAGGGTTAAACCAGGCTGCTCCTTGGAGGCAAGGATTCTGGGGCTTCGTCTGACATACTTTGGACATGTTGCAAGGAGAGACAGGTCTTTAGAGAGGGACACATCATGTTGGGTAGAGTAGAGGGACAGCGCAGGAGGGGAAGACCCTCTATGAGGTGGATTGATTCAGTGACTGGGGTAATCGGGATGGGTGTGTCAGAGGCAATGAGATTGGCACACGATAGAGCACGGTTTAGGGCTGTTGTACATAGGGTTGCTATGAGTCGCAAACAACTCGACGACACATAACAACAACAACATGAACAACAGACATCCTCAGCATTTCTAATATGCTCAAGTTCATTGTTACAGTCACTGTATCAATCCTTCTCATCAAGGGTCTTCCTCTCTTTTCCTTGGAACTTCTACTTTTCCTAGGATGAGGTGTTTCCCCACCAAGGACTGGTTCCTCCTGACACCATGCCCCAAATATATGAGACAAAGCCTCACCATCCTGGCCTCGAAGGCTCACCCTGGTTACCCTTCCTCCAAGACAGACTTGATTGCTCTTTTGGCGGTTCATGGCATATTCAGTCCTCATCGCCAACAGCACAACTCAAAGACACCCATTTTTCATCCGTCATTCTTATCCAACTTCTAGATGCATAGGAAACAAGTGAAAGTAATATGGCGTGGGTCAGTCCTCAAAGTGACATCCTTGCTCTTCAGAACTTTGGAGAGGTCACTGGGGACAGATTTCCCCAATATAACATGTCTTTTGATTCCTGGACTACTGCTATCATGGATCATAGATCCAAGTAAGGTGAAATCATTGACAATCTTTTCTCTCTCAGTGTTAGCTGTCCAGTGATGAAATTTTTGTTTTCTTGATGTTAAAATGTAATCCATATTGAAGGTTAGATATAGTCTTTGATCATCCCCAGTGCTTCAAGTCTTTTTCACTTTCTGTAAGCAAGGTTGTGTCATCCGCATAATGCAGGTTGTTGATGAGTCTTTCTTCAATCCTGATCCCACATTCTTTATATATTCCAGCTTCTCTAAAGATTTGTTCAGCACACAAATTGAATAGGTATGAAGAAAGAATACAGCCCTGATGTACACCTTGACTATTTTAAAATCATGCCATGTTCCCTTGTGATGTTAGGCCAGCAGCTTCTTGGTCTATGCATAGGTTTTGCATAGGACCATTTAATTGTCCTAGGAATCTCATTATTCTCAATGTTAGCCATAATTTGTTATGATCTATATAGTCAAATGCCTTTGCATAGTCAATAAGACACAAACATCTTTGTGATATTCTCTGCTCTTATAATTTCATTATACTTTAAGAAAACTTAAAAAAAAACACAACAAATACAAATTAAATGTAAATGAACTGGTCAGAAGCCAAAATGGGGTGATGGGGGAAACAACCTACATTTTCTCAAAATATTTTCTTGAATGAAAAATGAACGAATGGTCTTAATGGCCATGGGGATGATAATAAGAATATCAAGCCTTCAGTCCTCTACACTCATCTCTATAACCTACTCCCTTTCACTACCCTGTCATCCTAGTTTATCTTTGATGTAAGCAGCCAGCAGCTCCCATCTTCCTAATCAGAGACTATTTAGCCACACTCATACAGCTCTCCCCTCCCTGAGTCTAACATACTGCTCTTGGTGGAGGATGAGCAGTCTACTTCACCACTGCTATTTCAGGGTATATAATATAGTGCTTGAAAGGTCATTCTATTTTTGGAACACATTATCCAAATTGTTTCTTAACTGGTCTCCATTTCTGCCTTAAAGTACACTTTTTGCCCTAGTAACTAGGTTGAAAAGTTTGGATTTAGTGTGGGTCTGACTACCCCTACAGCTTTCCAAATACACTTTCTAAGCAGTTTATGTAAATGGATTATATGGCACCAAATTTCTACATAACATAAAGTATTGCTATTACTGGGGCAACTAACTCAATAAAAGAAACAATTTGGAGTTAGAATCCTCCTTCTTATGAGAGAAATCTGTGTATTCCCAGGCACATGCAGTCACCGTGGCTTGTCAGTGGAGGCTTGCACATTATTGCTATTACTCTGAACAGGTTTCATTGGAACTCCCGGACTTAGCTAGCCTAGTGACCTGGTGATATACTCCCAAAAATGAGCCAATGAAACTTCTATGGTCCCAAGCCAACATGGAGCTGATGCAGGATCAGACAGGTTTTTGCTCTGGTATGAGTGGTTTACTGAGAGTTGTAGACCAACCTGTTCTTATTGTTGTTGTTGATTGCCTTCAAGTCAAGCACAACTCATAGTGACTCTGTGAACAAAAACCCTGAAACTTCTCTACAACTATTGACATTTATCAAACTTTATAGAGTTTCAAGAGGCAAGTTGTTCACGAAGTGGATGCCCCTCCTGCTTCCAAACCTGTCATAGAATGTTATTGGTTGAGTTGCCTGTGATGTTAGTGACCCTATATACAACAACTCTGAACCCTTTCCGGTCCTGAGCCAGTCTCACTACCTCTAATACACCAATCCCCAAAGCCCCCGTCACTGTATCAATCCATCTTATCCCTCTCCTGCACTGTCTGTCCACCCTTCTGAACATGATGTCCTTCTCCAAGGACCAATCTCTCCTGGCCATGTGCCCAAAGTAATTCAGGCAGAGCTTCAAAATCCTAGCCTCCTTCGAGAGATTTGATTTCAGCCTCTCCAAGACAGACCTATTTGTTTTCTTGGCAGTCCATGGTAAGTTCAAGACCCTTCTCCAACACCACTACTTGAAGGCATCTATTCATCTTCTGTCACCCTTAGTCATTGCCCAACTTTTTGAAGCATAACAAGTAATTGAGAAAACCATGGTCTGGATTAGGAGCACCTTTGTATCTAGACTGACATTGTTGCTCTTCAGCACTCTGGAGAGGTCTATAGTTAACTAATGTTAAGAATGATATCTCAATAAAAGTAGGTGAACTGAGAAGATGGAGATGGAGAGCCAGATTTAGCCTAAAAGGAGATCAGTAAGCCCTTGGGGTGGACTGGCTCCATCTAGCAGGGATTTGGTGATAGCTAATCATCTGAGTAAGGATATCAAAAGATGAATAGCATTGGCAAAGTCCTCTATCAGGGACCTCTCTAAACTACTGAAAAAAAAAATGCTGTCAGTTTGGAAACTAAGGTGCACATGATCCAGGCCATGGTCTTTACAATTACTTGCTATGCATCCGAGAGCTGAACTCTAATAACTAAGGATGATAGAAGAAAGATCTATGCCTTTGAGTTGTGGTGCTGGAGAAGAGTGTTAAACATACTGAGGACTGCCAGAAGAACAAACAGGCCTGCCCTGAAGAATGGGAAACCAGGCTGCTCTCTGGAGGCAAGGATTTTGAGGCTCCATTTCACAAACTTTGGGCTTGTGGCCAGTAAGGACCAGTCCCTGGAGAAGGACATCATGCTTGGAAGGGTAGAGGGACAGAGCAGGAGAGGACCCAGGATGAGATAGAAAGACTCAAGTGACTGGAGAAATGGGATTAGGTCTGTCAGAGAGTGTCATTGGCTCATGATAGGGCAGATTTCAGGGTTAGTGTACATAGAGTCAGCATGAGTTGCAGACGACTTGATGGCACATACAACAACAAACAACAATCATCTGAAGCACTGGTCCCACAAGACAAAGGCCTCTTCATTATCCCAGAGGAATGCATAGAGGAAGGCTCATCAGGAAAGGGCAAAGTTCAGGCTTGTTGCTCAAAGGATTGGTGGGTCTTGGTCAACTTGATGGCACCTATTATATGCAGTGACTGTCCTGGTTTGGTCTTCTTTGCCCAGACAAAGAAGTGGGAGACAAGAGAAAATCAGCTGTTAAAGAAATCTCTTAGCTTTGGTCTTCTGCATAAAAAACTCAGTGTGAGTTGAGTCTTTGTTAAAGCACGTGGCTGAGGGGAAAGGTGAGGAGACAGGATGAAGGGGAAAGAAAAGATAGTTTTAGTACAAAAAATACATCCCATAGTGTGAGATGGGTTATTTCCCCAAATATAGAGAGGAAGAGAAGGACACTTTACCATCTATGGCTTGGATTAACAAAGCTGGCTGGCTTCACACACAGCTTGATGTGCTTCTGGCCTTAAGTATGGACCAATGGGATGATGTGGTGGGTGATTCTTGTCCGTTGTTCTTGATGTCACTAATGCACTAGTCATCTAAATCCAATATCACTGGTTCCAATTGGATAGGACTCAATCTTAGTCACTTTGCTTGACCCTTGTCCCCACATTGGCTCCCAGTGTGAGTTTCAAATGGTTGTATCTTACCCTAACAATCCTTCTGCCCAGCCTCTCCTTATTTCTACCTGACTCTGACTCTCACAGCACATAACAACAACACTATCTCTTTTGAACCAAAAAGGTTTGAGGATTTTATAAACTTTATAACAAAAATGCAGAAAATAATTATAAATCATTTCCAGGAGCTCCCATACCTGGGTTAGAAAAGTACTTGGCACATAATAGATGCCCAACTAATCATCCTATGAATGCATTAATGAAATTGATTAAAGAGTTCTGCAAAAGACCCTCTGAAGCATTTGTCACTTCTCACAAATCTTATGCCAGCACTTCCCCTAAAGAATAGGCAGTAAAAAATGAATATAATAAGTATTCTTCTCAGTGTCAGGATGTTTTCAGAGCTGAAATAACCTAGGGAAATCCCCAGGCACCTTCATCACTCCCTCTTTGTTGAATCGATGGTTAACACAGGGCTTTTAAACTTTCTAGTTCAGCTGTCAACCCTGCTTGCTGAAACTGAGGAGAACCTGAAGTGCTTGCTGTAGAAGGTCAAGGACTGCAGCCTTCAATATGGACTGAGGCTCAATGTCAAGAAGACAGTCTCACCACTGGGCCAACTGGCAGCATCAGGATGGATGGTGAAGAGACTGAGATTGGTCATAGCTTTAGTTTACTTGGCTCTACAGTCGACACTTGGCACCAGCAGCCAGGAAATTAAAAGATGTATTGCAATGGGAAAGTCTGCTGTTAGAGGCCTCCCCAAAGTACCGAAGAGCAATGGTGTCACTCTGGAGACTAAGGTGTGCCTGATACAGATCATGGTCTTTGCAATCACTTGCTATGCGTCAGAGAGCTGGACAATAGGGAGGACAGAAGGAGATTCCTATGAGCTGTGGTATTGAAGAAGAGTATTGACTATACCATGACTGCTAAGAAAACAAACAAGTTCATCCTGGAGAGGGTTAAAGCAGGCTGCTCCTTGGAGGCAAGGATTCTGAAGCTTTGTCTGACATACTCTGGACATGTTGCAAGGAGGGACAGCACTTGGAGAGGGATGTCATTCTTGGGAGTGTAGAGGGACAGCACATAAATGGAAGACCCTCTATGAGGTGGATTGATTCAGTGACTGTGGTAATGGGGTTATTGTGTCAGAGACAGTGAGATTGGTACAGGATAAAGAAAGGGTTTAGGGCTGCTGTACATAGGGTCACTAGGAGTCGCTGGCAACTTGAGGGCACATAACAAACAACAAGAACAGTTCAGCTGTAGTTGCTCATGATTAATTTTTCACAATTTTTTATTTCCTAGATTTCCCATAGTGTACTTGTTTACTCCTCCATCTATAAACTAATAGCCTTGAGTAATTCTACCAGTAGTAGTATTACAGCTTTCCAGTACAGAAGGCAAACCAAGATTTTATGGTTTGAACTCACAGGACAAAATGCCTGGTCATTTGAGGTAGGCCACAGAGGGTGGCTAGCTATCCATTTCCATCTTTATTTGGGGGTGTAGAGGACCGTGGGACCTGGATATCAGAAAGCCTGTGATGCTCCTCCCCGTTCTCCCTGCAGAAACCAGGCTTGCTGCCTTGGTGGAAGTCCAAGGGAAGGGTCTGCTTTGTCTTGGCTTTGTTTGTTTGTTTATTTTCTGTCTGAGACTTTAGGAAACATTCCAAGTCGAGTCGTGAGACAGAAAGTCTTGGTATCTAAGAACAAGCACAATGTTACTTTCAGCTTAAATATCTGCTGGGAAACCTCAAGGTTCTGAATTATCATCATTATGGAAAAACACAGACTACAAAAGCAAGTAATTTCTTCTCACTCTGTGTACTTGAATGGGATTTAGTTTGACCTCGATTTATATTTTCTCTAGTGGGTTTTTAATCTTGAGATAATATGAGCAAGAATTAAGAATCGCCAAAGAACGTGGTTAGATACCACTGGGGAGGGGGAGGTCAGGGGGCAGAGGTGGCTGGGAGAAGAGATTTATATTTTCAAATTGTATCTGGAAAATAATTAAATTGTACTTAGTTAGTGTGTCGCTTAAGGAGTTCTGATAGAGCAAGGTTTGAGCACTGAGCTGCTGAAGAAAAGTAATTTGGAAATCACCAGCTAGCCCACTGGATCAAAGACCCGGTGGTCAGCTCCCCTAAAAATTACTGCGTGTGAAACCCTAAGGGGCAGTTATGTTCTGTCCTGTAAGCATCATTATAAGTCAAGATCCTCTGGACGGCAAGGGATTTGACAGAGTGGCTTTCAAGGGGTTCTTTTGGTGTATTTTTTTCCCCCAATTTCAAGTTCTACCTGTCTATTCTTTTTTCTGTAACTTAACCCTCAGCCTAAATAAATAAACTTAATGACTGATTGGAGAGAAATTCCTTCTTGAAGGGCACCTTCATTGAAGTCATTCTTTCTTTTTTCACTCCTTCAACCTTTTGATCTTGCCGACCAAACACTCCAGGGCTCCGCAAACCAGCTCCGGAGCTCGGCGGCCCCCGCCCGCGCTGGCGCGCTGTCACCCGAGGCCGGGACTGCCCCTCGGCCGCCGCCGGCCCCTCCCGCGCTGGCACCGCCTCCCCACACCGCCTTCACCGGCCCCGCCGCCTCCCGCCGCCCAGAAGCCGAGGAGCGCTCTAGGTGCGTCTCCGCGCCGCCGCCGGGATGTGAACTTAAGAACCGATTGGACAAGATGAAAAGAGCGACTCCCCCGCAGCGCCCGCGGCCAGCCAGAGCCTCCCGGGTGCTCTGACCGCGCGGCGCGCTCTCGGCCCGCACGCCGGCTCCTCCGC